TCAGCTTTATGAGGTATTTCTGCATTAGGAAGAAGGAGGAGACTTTCCTATGATGACACTTGTCTTCAACCCTGAGGGATTTCATAGAGCGCCAGCCTATATTTGACCATGGCACTCCACTCTGAATCTGCTCCAGCATCCAGTATCCTAACATCGTCAGTAAAGTGAGCACTCAGAATGCATTCAGATCCATCTGGGATGGTCAGATCAAAAGTCTGCAGGCTCTAATTAACTGGCATAGCTTTTGCAGTGAAAAAACAGGCTTTTTTCATGTTTGGACATCGAAACTCAAAACAGGGGTAATAAAATCAGATGCTATTTAAATTGAATCAGCACAGCATAAGTTATTACCGTAATAGGATGTCTTATATAAATTCAGTCAGTCAATTCAGCTGTTTTGATGTTGCTTTCACTTATTTAAGCAAAACTGTTTGATCATCGGGAAAAAGATCTCAAAGCATTTACAAATCTATCCAAGTAACAGATTAAGTTTAAATAATTAGAGAGTTATTATAGACTAGACGTCGCTTTAACTGTCGCACAGGTTTGAGTCTTGGTCAGCAGTATGTGTTGGGCTGAACTTGAAACAACTTGAAAATTAAATTTCTTACTCATTTGTTGAAACGTGTAAAAACTAGCGGAGCGCTAGTTTAGAAGCTTGCAATGTGGATGAATAATGCAGTAATGCCTTTCATTATCTGTGCTGATGTTATATATTCCAGTTTTTCTTGGTAAAATTACCACAGTGGTGTGACAGATTAATTCCAAGCACAAGAAAAAATCATTTAATGGAGTCTTTTAAAAGTAAAAATGAGTCAGAGATGAGTTACAAAGAAAAGATTGCCAAAAGCCAACATCATATGTACACTGTAGGAGAGATTGTAGCCTATTCTTATGTTGTGTGGATTGTCTTCTCCTGACCACCTTTAACCTGTCCTAGAATAGGTTCCTAATTGATTATAAAGCAACTGGGTAAAAACACTATATAGTATTTAACCTCAGGATCTCCCACAAACAACTTTCTACTTAACTGAAGTCCTCTTTCATTGCACTTGTCTTGGTGTCTAACTATCACTATTGGACATTTTGGAACGACCTAGGACCTTATTTATCCCGGGTGGGAGTTAGCTTTGCAGCTGTGTCTGTTACTGTGCTAAAGAAAACAGACAAATGACCTGGAGTGATAATTGTAGGCTGTAAGATGGCCACAGGCTAACGGTGTCATTAGCTTGCTAGATGTAGCTTAACCAACATATGCTGGCCAGTAGGGAAGCCGAAATACGCCACTGTTTGTAGACAGGCTAGAGCAGGACAAAAAACACCCAGTCAGACTGGAATCCCTAGCAACTAACGCCTGTTGGCAAAAGCATTCCCTCTTTTCTCAAGACAATTTAGCTAACTTGAGAGATCCGGTGAAGATTATATATATGTGTGTGTGTGTGTGTGTGTGTGTATGTATATATATGTGTGTGTGTGTGTGTATGTATATATATGTGTGTGTATAGTGACATTTTAAGATTATTTGAGTCTCTTCGCTTTACATCTGTGTATTTAGACGTACTGTTAGACACTGTAATGGCATTATTTAAAACTGATCTGAGTTTATTTTTTATACTCATTGAATTGTCAGAGTTGGCTATTTAATTCCCCTTTAATATGCTTATTTTTAAGACAAACTGTTACAGAGCGACACAGATGAAAATAACTATATTATCCTGGACCATTTCAATAAATATTGTTTCAATATGTGTGCATCTATTCATTCAAGGTTCTCATTGAATATATATTTAGACAAAAGTTTCTTTGAGATTATTTATGATTCAGTAATAGAGTGCTCATTGTAGACACAGCTAATGTAAACTCTGACTCTAATAAGGATAAATTCATCTGCAGTTGTGTGTCCTCTGCTACAGTAGTTTAATATACTAAATCAACTATGGGTAACATAATTTATTCACTTAATTATGTCCATTGAGTTAGACTGACTGCAGCTGTGGCTTTTTTATTGCACTCATTTGCTAAACAAGATAATGCAAGCAACCAATGCAACTCTGATTCTGCCCTCACAGTAAGTCAAAATGTTGTGTCAGGGTTGTTCATTTTCTCAAAATAATATTCCTTTCTTGACACAGTTGGAATAGCTGATATTATTTAATGAAACACAGTGCAGCCTGTCTCATTATTTACAGTAACACATGCAGTCCCGCTGTGTAGTGCGTGCCATTGTAGAATTCTCCCATCAGCTATACATCCTGCTGAATTTCTACATTAGCAGTGGCAGGAGGGTTGTAAATTAGAAATGAAAAGGCATCTTGTGACACAGACCTTCAGACCTGCACTGGGGCTCTCTGAGGCCCCACACAAACCACCATTTCAATTCTCCAAATAAATCCTTCTGCGGCCAGAGCTGCAGCCGGGAAGCCGTATTTCACAACCGCGCGCAGTGGAGAAAGAAACTTGCATGATGGCTACATCTCTCCTTCTCCTGTGACACCGGAACACTCTCCTCTGTGATCCTCATTCCCAAAAGAGCATCGTAGCAGTCTGACAAAACAGAGCTGTCACGCTCTGTCTGCATGGAGACAGAAAACAGACTGGCTGTCCTTCTTTCCTTTCTTCATTCTATCCTTACTTTGTATCTTCCATTTTTTCTTCCTTTATCCCTCCTTCCTTCATTATTTTTGTATGTCTGTCTGTTCAATCTTTGTTCACATCTTTCCTTTCTTCCTTTGTTTCTTCCCTACTGTCTTTCCTTCCCTCTTTTGTTCCATCCTTCCATTTTATGTCTGTGTTCCTTTTCTACACCCTTTGGTCTTTTTCCTTCAATCTTTTCATTATCCCCACATTTCTTCTTCCTTTATCCCTCCTTTCTTCATTATTTCAATCAATATATCGATCTATCTAACTGTCTGTCGTTCGTCTTTCCTTTAATCCTTTCCTTTCTTTCATCCTTTGTTTCTTCCTTCTGTCTTTCCTTTAGTCACATCATCCTTCCTTCCCTCTGTTCTTCCATCCTTCCTTTCTATCTATCTGTTGGTCTACCTTTCCCCTGTCCTCTTTTCCTTTCTTCCTTCAATCCTTCCTTCCTTCCTACCTTTTATTTTCTGTCCTTCCGTTCTTTCTTTCATCCCTCCTTCTTTTTTTGTCTGTCTCACTGTCAGTCTATCTAGCTATCCATCTATCAACCTTCATTCAATCCTTTCTTCCATCTTTCCCACCTTCCTGCCTTATTTCCATTCCTCCATCCACCTTGTGCATCATGGTCTGGATACAGATCTCTGCTCTGCACACATTCTGCTCAGTGTAGCTTCAGCCTCATGTGTTCCTCCTATTTAGACAGTGCAGAGACAATCAGATCTGTGTTAAACGCAGCCTCACACTGGGCCCCACACTGATTGGTGTGTCAACACAGGCCGGATTTCAACTGCCTGCTCAAATGTGACTTTGTTTGTTGTGCCATCCATTCAAATCTGACTGAGATCTCATGAATAGGTGAGGGCCAGCTCATCAGATTTGAGCAGGCAGTGTAAATCCAGCCCGTGTTGACTGACGCACCATCAGCAGAGAACAGAGTGAGAATGTGTATTTTTCCCAGAAAAGCTGTCAGTCCCTTCAAATATCATGCTCATGCTACTATGTGGCACGTCTTTATTTTGTTCTTCTGTTTTATTTATTGCCGTCTAAAACAGGAAAAACAGGGTTTCCTTTTGAAAGAAACAAAAAGATCACACGTAGGTGAGAGAAATGAAGGATTTAATCCAGCAGAGAAAATGGAGAGGCAGTCGGTTTAAGGGAGCTCTCTGGAGGATTTGGTGCTGCTGGTTGTGTGGGGAGGTGGCAGCAATGAAAGGAGGAGAGACACAACCAAATCACTGCAATTAGAAGCACAGGAGAATAGTGCCCCCCAGTGTTTGCTTGAAATACAGTGTGATTAGTTTCTGTATGCTGCTGTGAACTGAGCACATTAAAAACTCTCACTGTGGAGAAATTCTCTTTTTTTTGTAATGTACGCAGATCCAGTGAATTGGCTTTTATCATGAAACCTCACGTTTAACTGCAGATATAGTCATCCATAAATTATTTGTATGTGTCTTCTGCAGCTTCATTGTCTTACAAATCAAAACCCAGGAGGATCTGCTGAGAGTTTTTTGACATGAGGCAGGATGTCTATTGGACTTTTTTGTTGTTCATCCATGACATGAAAATAGGCTAGAATGCCATCTAGAGGTCTGTATCTAATTATGTATCTGAGGCATAATATGGCATGTCATGTTAAGTGAAATCACATTTAATCAAGGCTAAGATGTGGAAATTACAATTTCCTTGAGCTGTGTTTTTTTTCATAGAAAATTAATTCATCCTGCACTAGTTCCTCGTTCATGAATGATGTCTTCACAGGGTCCCTTTCAGTGGCGATTCTCCATGGAGAAGCACTAAGACCATATTGACCTACATTACTTCATGTATTTTCAGTATGAAGTATGTCTTTAACTATTCTTATTTGCTGTGACTCAACATCCATAATCCCTTTTTGTAGGTTGAATTGATGACGTGCTTCATTCATTCATCTCTCCGTCGCTGGATGATTTCCGTAGGCAGAATGCTATTAGTGTGTAAACAAGGTGAGCCGGGGAAGTCACATGACTCACAGGATTTCACAGGCTGCCATTGTGCTACATTTGCCTTTTTTGTATAATTTTACAGGCATTTCACACCAAGCTTTCTAATACTCTATCATTACTGGAAATTGAAATTTAAAACATGACTTTCTTGAAATGTGTAAAAGCACCAGTATTAACTTGTCCTGTGTGGATCCGTATTGGTGGGAAAAAAAGGTAAAGACACGATTTGCTCTGACACAGTGCTGGCCTGGTTGGTTTAATGACATTTTAAGAACTTCATCTGAATATCCCGTTGAGCCTAATGACGGATACATCTTTTCCCCCCCGGAGCTAAAGTCCTGTCTCTGTGGGCACCAACTGATAGCAGGTAGACTTTGCCCTGAAGGGAAAGCAACACTACAGGAAATGCAGCAGGGCAGATTCCTGGCCGTCACAGCACAGGTAAGACACTTTGTAATAGATTAGAGCTGCAATGAATTGATTTATGTGAACATACCTAAGTGAAACAGCAATTGATCACTTGTTGAGGACTTGAAAAACACGAGGGGTACTTTTGAAAGGGTTTCATTCACCACTGTATCCTGTCTGTCGCTGGTTTTAGTTTGGGGACTTGACTTGAAGCTGAAGTCAGAAGTCAATGTGGCTTTAGATGGTATATCACTGAGTTTAAAGGCTTTACTATTTAATGATATTACAGGAAGTGTACATTGTTGATCACATCATAGATAGTTTGTATTCAGTGCTGATGTTTATTTGAAACTGCTGATTGTAGCTAATTATAACTTAATTTCTCTAATGATTATTGCAGCACCAGGGACCTTAAAGGGAATCCATTACTCTCATGTCCTCACTATATATAAAATACAATCCCTGAATTAACTGTCTGTCTGTCCTTCTTGATGGGAACTGTATTTCCTGTGAGATCAATTAACCACAACCTATTTGGCCACAGCTCTTTTAAAATGGAGGGTTAAGGCCATAATCACAGATCTTAGTCATGGGTTTGTGTGATGCGTCATTTTGTAATTGCCCATTTACACTGATATTGCCTTATTTGCCAATTTACCATCACTGACGAAAGCGCTGTTGCTGTTCAAACGGATCCTTTTGTGTCCCTGCCATGATCACCTTATCTGTATGTCTAGTAGTTTTTCTCTGCCCGCTTTGTGCCTTAATTGATGAAAAGATCAGCAAACTTTTGGTGGAATGGACCAGTCTAATGGCAGCAGCAGTGGTGGTTATGGACCCCGTCCCCCTCCGTACAATCATCAGGATTATGGACAGAGTTCTTACACAGGGATGAGCTATCAGGTTAGTAGCAATATTAGAAACATGTTTAATAGCCTCATAGGAGAAAAGGGATGTCTGAGATAGTGAGCTTTTTTGGATTTAATGTCTAACTATTACTACAGCATGAGCAAAAATCACACACTACCTGCCATTGATCATGCAATCATCATTAAACCTTCGTTTGATTACCCATGGTTTTTATGTTGTTCAAAAGTAGGATTTTGTAGAAGTGTTGTTTGGAACTACCCCTGTTGCTTTTGCTTTGGATGAACCAGGTAGGGAAGGGCAACGTTGCAGTGGTCTCGCCTCCTGGCACCTATGACAACATGGTCCAACCTGACGGAGCTGGAGGCATCCTGCATGATGGTGAAGCTCCACCTGACTACTCTTATGGCTTAGAGGATAGCAGCTTCAGTGATGCTGCTGTGCGAAGAGGTAAGGGCTAGAAGAAGGGAGAAATGGGCAGAACAGAAAGTGAGAGAAACTAAATGTGTTTTTGTTTGCATGGTCAGAGCTGCAACAATATTTACTCCCTCATTTGCTTTGCAGTGTTTTCTTGAAATTGATTTGAAATGGAAAATTGTTCCCTGATCTCTGCAGCTCTTCACCTCCCACACAAAACAAATTTTAAATTAGAGGATGAAATGTGGGTTTGGTGAAAACGGAACAATTTTGACACAAACCACCCTACCTGCCTGTCTGCTTCACTCTGGCAGATTTTAGTTGTTGTTTCTTTCTCCTGCCCATCTACCTTTCCATCTTTCTTCACTCACTATGTGTCTGTGTCTTTCTTTCTCTGCAGGTTTCATAAGGAAAGTCTACTTGACCCTGATGATTCAGCTGCTTGTGACAGTCGGGATCATCTGTGCTTTTCTTTATTGGTGAGGCACCTTTACACAAGGGAATTTCTTCCAAAAAAGAGATGAAACCATGTCGGGCACCTATCCATCTATCCACATTTAGTGTCACTGTGTAGGCGCACCCAACATCACACAGGAGCACAAACACTACTAGTTATCCCCACATAAACTCTAGCATGCAACCCAGCACTGCCGAAATCATGGCAAATGTGTGAGGTGACACAAGATGGTAGAGAGTAAAAGGGTATTCCTGCCACATAATATTTTTGCTTGCAATAGTCTGAAAGCTTTATATATTTTGTATAATGGATGTGGTAGAACACTGCTACTGTAATTTATTTTCATAAAGTCTATTCAGTGCACAATGCTCTGTCCTCTGTTAATATTTAATAAAATCATTCTACTGCCTCTACCAAATAAATGACTTCTCTATTAAACACTCCCCTCCCTCTCTCCCTTTTTTTTCTTATCGAATAACAGCGACGCTCTCAGGAAATGGACATGGGCCAACTACTGGTTCTCCTACACCATGATGTAAGCTATGAAAAACGTTCAGTTAGGTGGTCTAGACACTAGACGTTTGTGCACCTACAGATTTCCTGTGGGTGAGTTACCTAAATGAAAATGTTGCTCATGGTAATCGATAAAAGTAAATCACAAACTGAATCCCAATCCAAGAAACTGCCAGCTACACTTTGCATAAATCACGCACCCAGTGAATTCACATATTGACACACACAGTGCTTTTTTTTTGTTTGTTTATAGCCTGTTTATTTGCTGTTTTACGATACACACTATATTCTCTGTGAAATAGGGCGGCGGTGATGGTGCTCATCGTGGCCTTGTCCTGCTGTGGCAACCTCCGTCGTCAAGTCCCCCTCAATTTCATTGCCCTGGGCCTGTTTGTGAGTAGATGCAGTACCAGCCAGGCATCAAATTAAACCCCCACCACACCTGCTCTGTTTCACAGTTTTTTTGTCATGTATTTACTTTCCATTTGTCTCTCTCTCTCTCTCTCCCTCTCTGCTTCTCTCTGTCTCTGTCTCAGACTGTGGCAGAGGGCCTGATGCTTGGATCTGTGGCAGTGTGAGTGTTTGTTTCCAAGGATGGATCCCCACCTGATGCTGACTCATTTACACAATAATAACCCTATTTGATTCACATCTGATACCGTGTTGGATGCCAGCAATGAAGCCATCACACCTGATAAGATGTTATCACTGCTGGTTTTCCAAATTAAAAAGCATATGGAATCTGTTTTTTTTTATGGCTGGAGATAAACACCAAAGCATCACAAATAGTTCAAAACCATTTTTTTTCTGTACCAGCGCCTGTGTAAACACAAGTTACCTTTTCCATCTGTGAGACATTTATTTTTCAACAGCTTGTTACAGAAAAGGCATCAGTTGAAGCCTGACTATCAATAAAACATTCAAATTATCATATTTATAGGGCATTGCCATAACTGAAGCTGTAACTGATATGAAATGAACATAGGTGGTGCATTATGCAATGCGAGTCCAGAGGGGGTCCCTGCCACCACGCTAGTTGAGACACATAATACAGACTATTAAATGAAAAAATAGCACTTTTTTTTTTTTTCAAAAAAGTAATGTTTCCCTTTTAGAATAGAACACAACCCTGCTGTTTGTGTATGTGCTCTGCTTGCTGACTAGTTAGACATGATAACATGGGGTGCCTTTCCCGCTGCATATCTGTGTGATATTTGTGTCTGTAGGTTCTTTGATGCCGAAGCAGTTCTGTGGGCTGTGGGGGCAACAGCGCTGGTGTCCTTCGCCTTGACTCTGTTTGCTATGCAGTCAAAGGTAAGATCTGTCACACACTCTGAACTCAATTTGCAGTGCAGCCAAAGGTGAAATTTCATAAACTGCACAGCATTTTCTATACCCTCAGTGGTAAATGTCCATATACTGAGCTGTGTTTCCTGTGCAGTCAGAGGGAACGTGATAAGCTGAGCTGTTGGATAGGTTTTTTCTCATGCAGTGTTTGCTACGTGCAGTCACCAGTGAAGGCTTAAAACGCTGATGGGTTTGCTGTCCAGGCAAAACTATGATTACTGCTAAGATCAGTGTATTTGTCAATCAAGTTAATTCCTTATGTTCAGTGGTGGGACAGAGTTAAATCTCTGGGCTGTCATCAAGCCGACTGAGGCTACTGCCATAAATCTTGAGTTCAGTTTGGTTATTTGTCAAATCCCTTGTCTTCCTTTTTTGTTTGTCTCCTTTCACCATGAACTGTCTAACAAAGCTAACACACTCTGAGATTAATCTTTAAAAGGGCCCTTTTGGGGGCGCAATGGGAGACATGATTCTCCTCCAGCATTTTAAAATTTAAAAGGTAATTACTGGTGCCTTTTGTGCAATGGCTTGCACACATGCTTAAATAAAAGAAAACGCAAAGATTTGCATTCTTGATCTCTCACCATGAGACGTCAAAGTGGTCCATGAAGAAGTTTCTCCACCAAGATAGCGCTACTTTAGTGCTTCAAAAGTGTTAATATTTCTTCCTGATGTCACTTGGTTCATATAAAACAGCTTATTCTTGTGTAAGTGACATTTAAAAGTTGCATTGTCAATATGCACAAGTGAGGAGACCTTTTGAGAATCCCTTCATTGATAATTTGATATGCAACTTCAATAAATGGCTCATTTTCGGGGGAAAAGTAATCATACAGTCAGTGGGGCAAAAAATTAGACAAGTGAAATGCTGTATGTATGTAGGCCAAGTTCAAATTTCATCTGGAGTCATTCTTAATTGCTTCTAAATCCTGTTTGGCATTTCACACATTTTTGCCACTTATTGCATCTGAAGGAGCTGCAGACATCTATTTCTACTGCAGCTAGCAAGTGATTGGCTTGAAGGGTCACACGGTAATTAACTTCCTATGGTCCCATGTACATCTTTTCTTGACAATATGACAATGACTTAAAACAGGTAACTCCCATACAACTGAACAGTTCTAACTGAGGTTACAGGGTCTGTGATATAAATCTTATGTTTCCACATTATGAAATCTGTTCAGAGGAAGCATTTGAAAACTGAAATCATCATTTAGTCTAGCAGGTCATGTGTTGTGTCGTGTCATTTATATACTCCTTTATGTAAATGACATGACTTCCATTTTCCTCCATGCTTTGATGAAGGCCACTGGGCCGAAACATTTGCATGTTTGTTTGTTGACATGGCCTGAATAAACTGGTGGAATTGAGATTAGTGAACTTTGTCTACCTTTTTAACGTTTGGTATTCATTGTTGGAAATATATGACTTGATCATACTGAGAAAATGAATGCTTTCTGCTCGTTATTGAACTGTAGAAAGAAGGCATGTGCATCGGGTTTAAAAAGCCTGCATATAAAGGGGGAATACTATATGAATAGAAAAAGTGGCTGCACCCTCAGCCTATAAAAGATGTAGTTTTATGGGCTGAGTGAGCGGTCACTGCCACAAACACTTTTGGTTTATTTTTTTTATGACTTCACATTCATCTTGTAGATTCCAGCACCTCTTGCTCTGCAGCTCACGCTGTGCGCAGAGCTTTTTGGTCTCTCTCACTGTGATATTAAAGTCATATAGACTGCCTTGCATGTTTAGCTCATAGCTCCTCAGGTGATCAATGTTAGTGATTCTCCTGTAGTAACTCATCTTTCTTTTGCCTATCTGAAAAGGGCATACAGGCCAAAAGGCCACCTCTCCTCCCCTCCTCTGTGCCTGCATTGCACCTTGTTGATTAATGATCCAGCATCATTATATCCAGAATCATTAGGATTTTCATGTGTGCTTTACTGCAATATGTCTTCATCATTTAGTAATCTGCGGCGCTTCACAGCACAGCTGCAGTGCAGATGACCTTGAACGCCCTGCCTTTCATTGCAATGATAAGTGTAAATGAGAGATGTTCTGTCTACAGTTTTCTGTTTGAGAGGCTCATCACATTCAGTGTCTCTCTCTTCTCCCCCCTCTTTCTGGCACCAGTGGGACTTCACCGCAGCAAATGGGAGCCTGTGGGTGTTTGCCTGGACCCTCTTTTCATTTGCATTGCTTTGTGCAATCCTGCGATCACAGGTAGATCAAGGAGCTGCTGTGTTTACACCTGTGTTTGCACTGAGAACAGGTTTAAAATGAATTACAGCGGTGCGCAGTTAGAGGCAGACAGTGCATACAGCCTCATAGCTTTTATCCCCAGGATGTTCTGGCACTGACCTGTGTGCTGAGCTGACTGTAAAGAAGAGACGGTGCACTCTCAATCCTCTCAGGAGTTGCACTGATCTCAGACTGATGCATTTAAATGTACACTGCTGTTTACTGTGACGGCTAGTACCATTAGTGTTTTAGCCTTAGGGAGGGAATTTACAGAAATGAGCTTTTCATTGATTTTAAACTGCCATTTTTACACGACAAATGAACTAGAACGGAAAACAAACCCATGTGCACCCATTATCAGCCTTTACCATCATATTTACCGTACAGAACAACTAGAATGGAAAAAGGAATAAAAGTAGGCTCACTTTTTTAGCTGATTTAAAGGACGAGACTGAATTATTATGTCTGCAGAAAGTGCCCAGTATCAATTTTCAAAGATCGAAAATAAGCATTTCATTTCATTTCATTTGAAGATGGAGGTTTATTTAACTACATGTTACCCCCATTTATGGAGGAAATAATCACAAATCAGAATGAAGTCAATTATGTTGCTGAATGCCTGTGTCTCTGATTCTTTCAACAGTATGTTTACATCGTATACGCCTGCCTTGGAACCTTGCTCTTTTCCTTAGTAAGTACATTCAAACTTTAACGACTCGAAATCAGACTGAAAATGACCTTTTAAAATGAAAGAAACCATCATCAAAAAAGTCTTAATGTCAAGTGAATCTAAGATTTGATCTCGAGGCCGAGTAGTCTGCCTCCATTGTGTGTCACAGTGGTTAGTGTAAAGAGAGACTGTGATGTCCTCGTGCCCTTTAATTTCAATTATGCACCGCTTAACAGCAGTAGGCTTCATTTTCACAGCCACCTCTCTGCGTGCCTCTGGCATTAACAGCAAATGTTGTGACCCATTCCGTCAGCTGGTGGAACAAACTGCCACTGCACACAGATCTGAACAGGCAGCAAGTCGCAACTCACTTTCAGCTGCTCAACTCTGACTACACGATTATTTACATGGGCTATTTATCTGCACAGTCCCCTCTCTCAAAGATAAGAAGTACTGTCCATGTTTCCTTTCAGACTGTTTCTTGTAACCAGCTCTCTGTCTCTTTCATCACACAAACACGCGGCATCCACGCGTCAATGGTGTTGACGCATCTCATCTCTGTCTGTGTCTCTGCAGTACTTGGTGTTTGATACCCAGCTTATCCTGGGTGGGAAACACAGGAGGTATGAAGTCTCTCCCGAGGAGTACGTGTTTGCTGCTCTCAACCTCTATTTGGACATTGTCTCCCTGTTCCTCTTCCTCCTGCAGCTCATCGGCCTCTGCCGCTAAAACTGAACCTCCATGAATGGCCTCCCTTAAGAAACTCTTTTGACATACATCTAATTTTGAAGCGCATCATGTATCTAGATTCATATGGAATGAAGATTCACGCTGTTAGTTATAAAGACTCTCTATCATGTCTATATATAGACATAGAGGTCTGTGATGTGTCTTAGATAGTTTTTATTGTTAAATGTCAGGATTAATGTTATTATGCTGTGGGCAAAATGTGTGCTACTGGAGTTGTCCTATCAAGTATTTCTACCTAGAACTTTTAATTCATGTGCATTTGTTTGGAAACTTTAAAGCAATCAGAAAGAGGCATAAAAAATCAGCCATTGAACTAGTAATTTACAGTAGTATGATACTCTTGTTGAGAAGATCAATTTGTCCTGAAGCTTAAAGATGCTTTTGAAAAAACTGATTCCTGAAACCAAACTAACTCCATTAAAAGACAGAACCTGTCGGCCTTCACACTCCCATGAAACCAGGCGGGTGATCTGTTGTTTTTTTCTCTCCAAAATATGTTGTTTGCTCAGAATGTAGGCATCTCAGCGACCACTGAAAACACACATTAAAACTCAACACATAGTTTATTGGCATCACACAAACATTTTTCATATAAAGAGGGAATGTATCAAGTATAGACTATGAAAGTGCAAACAGCATTTCAAGGATTAGTTGCTTTACAATAGAAAATCTCAATGAGTTACAAAATGTTATATGCCATTTTAAAATAAATCACCTGGACATTAGAGGTGAAATATGGAGGAAGTACAAATTCCATTTAGACTTCTACCCATTTCATGCACAGCATACTGTTACAAAGAAAGGGCAACATACAGTATCTTATCTTCTCTGTTTAACCCACTTATATTAAGCAAGTCCAACAAAGTTAGCTCCACTTACCATATGGCACTCACAGTTTTACAACTTCAAGACACTTGTCAAAGCAATCACTATCTTTAGATTTAATGTGGCCTATACAGGTCTGCTGGAAAAAGAAGGTACTTTACTTCAGACATTAGTTTGTACAACAACATAATTAAGTCTTAATGGTAAATCACTGATCGTTTTGTTTTGTTTCATTTCATATTGGTTATTCACAATCCATTTTCTTTAATGGACCAATGTTTTTCAAATAAATACCTACTTTTATATTGCAACTTTCCTCCATCTTAGTGTCTTCAGGTAAGATACATGATACACATACAGTAGGTCAACTCATTCCGAAGTCAGTACAGTGATTTTTGTTTTTAAACCACAGAAAACCCAACTGTTTCAAAATGAAGGGACAGGAAGCCCTTCCACACAAAAAGATGAAAAATAAAACCTTTTTTTTTTTTCAAAATATTTGGGAACAAGTATGACATTAACCGTTGCCCATTATACCAAATCATATAAATTCAGGGTTAACCATCAACATAAAACTACTAGAACCAACAAAAAGCCTCATGCTACAAATATTTTGAAAAAAAAATCAAGATCTCATGTTTGCACATTAGACACAGGTGTCTGTTTTGTTTACACTGTATATACTGTGTAATTAGCACTCAGGAAAACGTGTGAAAAAGATTTAAATAATGGTGATTGACATAAAGGCACTGTCCCTCTAACGGCGTAGAGAATCGTTTCAAAGACATGGATATCCCATGTGTTTTGAGATGCAACACACATTCATGAATTCTCCAAGCATTACCCTGCAGCCCGGGACATCTGCAGAGCTCTGAGAAGGCTTTGCTTATATTACACTTAAATAGGACCCAGAGATAAATTACAGTGACTCGGGCTTGATTAATTAATTCACCAAAGTCTGAATGCGATTGCCTGATTACCTCTTTCACTGGTCTTTCCCGCAGCGTATAAACAAGACTACTCGCTGTCTACTTAGTCTGTCACGCGCCACATTTAGCTGCAGTACTCAAACATTCATTTAAACAAGCTACAATGCAGCTGGAAATGAAACTGAGCAGCCCCTCTGGGCCCGTCTGTTTTGTTGTTTTTGAAGATCAGCAGACATTTCACATTGAAAATGTGTAAGGATTGAGGCTTAGAGAATAACCATCACCAAGTCAATTTTGAAATGTTTTCTAGCAGGCCACCAACTTTTCATTTGAATAATGAATCTAAACAGTTTTGTGTGAATGTTTCACTTAATAAAGTACACAACCATTATGGTCTTACACTACAGATTTACACAGCACACTAAAGCTTTGAGATAAGAGAGATTTTGAAAATATCACTCAGCCGCAATCTAAATATATGGCTAGAGAGACTTGCACGTTTTAAGTTTAGCTGAATTGTTGAGATTGTAATAAGTAGGCACAATTTGCTTTGAAGAATCCACTTGGTGACTGCAAACTGTGCTTTTGCTAGTCAGTGTTTGGCACCTTTAAAGTAGGCTGATCTGGACAAGAGCAAGAAATACCTCCCAGCCTGTATCCCACAGATTGAATATTGGAACAAAATATTGATCTGTGCATATGTACAGTTGAAAACCCCCCTCAGACCTGATTCAGACACATACAGTAGGCTTTTACTCCAGTGGAAAAAAGATAATACTTGCACTAGGCTAAAGTCTCTTATATCCTCTAAAAATGATTTCAGAAAAGGCAACATATTCATATTTCTATCAGCACAGAATCATTTTAGGAAGTAAATCTTTCAAAGTTTTTTAACAAATGTAATATCTCCTTCAGTTAGTGCTTTCTTTTCAGGAGGGCTGTTTTTGGGGGGTCTGACAATACAGTAAACGCAGGAAACTGATCTGACTGCAATGCCAGACTGAGGCTAAGAATCTAAAACTTCTTCCCCCACTTTCCAACCCAGTACAAACTGACACATTCTTCATTCTGTATACATTCCACCTAATAGCCACTACACATATTCCTTAACTCTATGTAATTTTCACACTATAATGGTTTTTGGCCTTTCCAAAAAAAAAAAAAAAAAAAAAAAACACCTCCCATCTCAGCCAATCACTTTATACCAAGTGCACTTGCTCCTCCCATTCAGAGGAGCTGGTGCTGGGCAGCTGGTCGGATATAGAGTCACATTGTGGCGTGTCGACGTGGCAGACCTTTGAGCCTCCCCGTTCGGCGCGGTCTCCACTTGTGTCAAGGGTGGCCACGTAAGATAGCGGCATGGTGTCCAGCCCTACTAGATCTAACTCAGTCGGCCTCTCTGCGACAGCACACTCCTTCTCCTCCTTCTCACTCAGTCTCTGAGTGAAACCCACATCTGCCATCCCCTCCTGAGGCTTCCTGGTTTCAGGCAGGACGGCCTCGCCTTTCTCATCATCATGCAGGCACCCTCCTCCGCCTGCATGCAGTGCACCAAGGCTTGAGTCGTTGTTGGAGGAGGTTGAGGGGACGAGGGTGATACCTTGAGGATTCATATCGTGGAACCAAGCCATGATGTTGCCCAGCAGGTTAGCATTTGCTGCTAAAGTAGAGGAAGAGGATGGATCGTGGCTGCCGCAAGTGGTTGAATCTATCGTGTCACTGGAAGAAGAGAAGATGCCTGTTGAAGAGTTGCTGCCACCTGGAGCCACTGGTATTGGCACAGAAGAGCCGTATGCCCGGTGGAGACTGTCACCATGCTGTGCAGAGGCAGGAACAGCAGTGGCAGAGTACTGGCTGTTGATGTTGCCAAGTCTGGCCAAGTTATCGCCCAGCTCCAGCAGTTCTGAGCTGCTTAGGGAAGCTCTGGGGAGGACCCCTACACCAGGAGCACTCTGTTCAAGCCTAGAAGGCAGGGATGTGCCGATTGCGCCTAGTGAGGCTTCATTGGCAAGGACGTCATGATTGGACCCGCTCCCTAACATCCCTGAGTCCTGGAGTGACAGCTGAATGGCCAGTAGAATGTTAGGGTCATCGTCATCCAAAGAACCTAGACCCTGCAAGAAAATACAGGATATACAGTGTTAGTGATGACGGCCAAACAAGTGTCATCCAGTGATAGACCACCAGCAGTTTCCAAGTCCAACCTGCACCACCTATTGGCAAGACAAGTAAAAGAAGTAGCAGGTTCGAGCTGCAGATGACACCAAAGGTAAGACCGTAAGAATCATCAAAATCTTTTCCTGTAGTCCTTTTTTACACTTAGACTACAACTAGAAAACATCAGTCAGTTGGATTGTTTAGTCTTATTCCCCCGAAATTTTCCCTCTGGGTTCAATCTTTTATCTTTTGTATAATTTAACAGTGTACAAACTTACAGTAAGTAGAAGTGCATTAGACCTTTTAAGAAAACCAGCTTTTTATCGCAGCATTATCAAGCCACAATGACTATAAGAGAATAAAAAACTACAGAAATCAATTCAGCAAGATTAATGTTGTACTTTTTAGATTAAGTCTCACAGGCTGAAAATGGTTACTCACCATCAGATGACCTTGTCTACGTCCACCTCCACCGTCCTGTGTGTCTTTGGAGAAAAAGACATTAGACTGAATCTTTAGAGCAGCACTTGGATTGCAATTAAACGCTGATAATTACTACTTTTAGGAAAGTCATCTTCATTTTAGTGAAAACTGCAAAATGATGATCAAGTAATAGCACGACAGTGTATGCCTTCAGCGTTTTCCCAGGATATTCACTAATTCAGTATCTTCTGAAATCAATTATTCCTTCTTGGCACATGGGAACCTTTTAGCTGGCTTCAAACCTGCAGAATCTGTCCATCTTTCATCCACACAGCCAAAAACAAAGCAGCACTGTGATGTACAAGACTGATGAATTAGAAATATTGGCATGTTTAATTTGAGCAGTTGCAATATTCCAAAGTTTGGCCCAGTACCCTTATGACAAATCAGTGGGTCAAAAAGTTAGGGAGGATGACTGGATCAATGTAGTTTAAATTAATGTATAATGTATATGCATTGTTGTAGATAGTATACAGCTTGACTGATGCAGTTGAGGGAGAATACAGTGCGTCCACTGCTGTACCTAAAATACTGTCGCTGAGGTCATCAGGGTCGGGTGTGTTGCTACGAAGGCTGGACATGTCGCCTCGCCTCCGCTGCCTATGTCTCCTTCTGTACTGGAACTCTGCGTACTCCTTAAAACAACCACACACACACACAAAAAACCCACATCAACAATAAATACCAAGTTTAAATTCCTTTCTATTGCCTAATTTCAACAAATGCTCAAATCCTGCAGTGTATCCAGTCATAATGTCCTCAACTTCATCATATCGCTTTCTCGCCAGAAAAAAAAAAGTTACTATGTAGGGCTGATCTGGAGGTACAGTTTTTCAGTTTCCTTGATTCATGTAATAGTTTTTTGTAGGAAACATTTAATTGTTTAATTTGTGGACTTTCAATGTGGTCCGGGTCTTCTGTTCCTGGATAGATCAGCGCTTGATTCAAACCCTTTCATCTCAAGACCAAGCCTTCAATCATTAGTTTGAAATTCAGCCTCATGTACAAAACAGAGTTAATACCAATTTTGATCTTAAGCATGACTTACGCAGAAAACCATGTA